GTACCCGCGGGAGGGGAGCGGGCTGCGGGCCTCGCTGGGGACTGAGGGCTCTGTCCTCTGACTCCCCTCTGCCCCCGCCGCCATTTCCCCGACCAGGTGCCGTGAAACCGCGGGTCAGTTGCAGCAGAGAACTGGAACTGAAAACGACCCTGCGGGAGCTGGTCATCTACATCGTTTTCCTGACAGACCTCTGTCTATGTAAGTCATCAAATGACTGAGGCGACTTCAAATGTTTACAAATAATTAGTGTGTAAGCTGTACCTCTTTCAGTATTTACTCCTTACTCCACCTGTCATCCACCAAAAAGTATCATTTCAGTCAAAATTGCTGTGACTGCCTTTTTCTAGCAGCATGACTTCCTGACAACTTAAGCGGAGAAGCAAGGTTAAGCTGTTGCCATCCTCTAATTTCGGCCTGCGAGCATCCCCTCTTTGCCCCTTCTTTCCAGTGACGTTTGGCATGGTGAGCACGGACATGTACTACCTGAACAAAGCCATGTCCCAGCTCTTCCTGGAGCCCTCCTCCTCTGAGGACAACAGGAGTGGTTTCGGGAGTATTGGGAGCAGAGCTGATTTCTGGAGGGTAAGGCTTTCATTGCAAAGATGTTTTCTTGGAGAACAAACAAGGGAAGAAGCTCCTAGTGTTAATTCAGAGCAATACAGTCTTGCGGTTCTCCTAAAAGCCGTGTGCTAGATGATGTGTTTTCAGGTGAGGAAAGGCAAATAACTTCTTAAAATGCATTTGGAGGAATTCTGGGTACAACCAATAATACTGATACTCCTAAATAGTCAGTCAAAGAAAACAATAGGCCAATTAATTGCTGCATCGTATTCTCAATATTAGGCTTGGTCTGAAAAGAGCTTCAATAAAACCAGAAAGATTTTGCATGTACAGTTCTTTTGACTTTCGGCTGTTAAAAAAAAAACTTATGATTTCCACTGGGGCAGCCAGGAGAACGTACCATCATGATTCACCTGGTTTGCTGTTACATCACATCATATTTCAGTGATGGTCGCAAAACACATCTCTGTTTTCACTGCTAGGTGGAGGACTTCCCAAAATTACCAGCATTGCCCAGCTGACAGCAGAAGGCAGAGTTTCTCACCCTACTCTTCCTTAAAAATGGAAATGTCTGGTTTATAACAATTCATTTGGAAGAATTGTACTCCCTCTTATCGTGGTGTCTGTTACTGCTAGTCCATAAAACAGTGAGCCCTTGCTATACAACGTGTATGCTGATGTACTAGAAATGGTTGTAATACATGCTCAGATGGTGCCAGACCACGGGGGCATGTTGTTTTGTACTTGGAATAATGTTATCCCCAAGTTTAATGCTCTTTATCTGCATCCAAGAAACACCCAGAAAAAGAGGGATTTTTTTTCCCCCGCTTTCAAAAAGAAATACTTCTTCATTTAGATTCAGATGACTAAAAACCTAATCAGAAATATATCCCAAAACAGATTTTCAGAGATTAAGATAACCAACAGATTTTGTTAAAATAACATATAATTTCTGTTACATACTTGTTTAGAATTCAGCAGAATTTTTCAATGAAACCCCAGACAGACGAATGTTGTAGTCTTACCCTGAATAATCCCATTACGTGTCTCTGATAGAATTGCATGGGGAATAAAAATGTCTCATAGCAAAAAGATGTAAATATATCATAAATACATATGTATATAAAATATATGTAAATATTTATAGGACAGTATATAGGTGGGAATTGTTTGTATTCTAGCTTAGACTCTGTAGCTATAAGTAACCCGAGAACCCTGTATAACCCGAGAACCCAGCAGAGATTTGTATGCTAAAAAGCGGGGTAATAGTGGTATTTAAATCTTCTTTTGAATCTTTAACCTCACTTGCACAAATAGTTTGCAGAGGGACCCCTGTTGGATGGACTCTACTGGGACAAATGGTATAACAACATGACATTAACCCTCCAGAACAACAACAGCCATATTTACTATGAGAATTTGCTGTTAGGAGGAGCCCAGATTCGCCAGCTGAAAGTACGCAACAACACTTGCTCCATCTACCCATATTTCCATACTTTTTTAGAAGACTGTTACAGTGAATATCGTTACCGAGCTGAAGACAGGTCTGACTTTGGTCTAAGGAATGAATCTGAGTAAGTCATCCTACTTCAGCACAGAAATGTTTATGAAACCCTAACCAAATCCTTAATGCCACTATTCTTCAGTTAGTAACAACTGTACATGCAATTAGCTGAGGTTTTCTCTTGTTTACATTGAGATAAACCATGGATTTGTTTTTGTGCCAACATTATAGACGGGAATTTGGCATGGGAAATTTATAGCGGAGAGACAGGAAGAACTGGAAACAGCGAGCCCAGTTCAACAAAAGCACGTTAATGGATCTATCTCCACTAACATCTCTAGAGAAATGCTCAATTATGAGGCCTGACTTTAAATCACACGTTTATAAATTGGAATCATGCTAAAATGCTCTGGAAACAAAGCCAAAAAGCCTGCTTCACACACTTCATTTAGCATTGATTTAACCCAATGAAAGAACATGTGAACATGCCACAGTAACAATGAACTACGTAAACCGGAGATATTCCACTTACCCATAAAGGTTTTAAGGTAATAAACTGTCTGGCCCACATTGGGTGAAATCCAGATTCATAAGCAATTGCTGTTTTGTGAATGTACTGAGTATTTCGCAAACAAGAGAAATGGGAATGTTTTAAGGCCATACGTCTCGTGCATACTTCATGTAAAGAAAAGTGTTTTTTAAAGGTCTGGCTTAAATGGTCAGTTGTGGATGCAGGAGAACAGAAGAACTAACAAGGATTGTATAAAATAAAAGTTAAAGCTTCCTTCCGTCCAGTTTCCATAAGCTGAGCTGCTTTGTTTTCCCATTTCTGATAGGTGGAAATACACCTCAGCCTCCTCGTTATCCCCATGGTACTGGGGATCTATGGGCTTGTACAGCAGTGGAGGATATATGTTCACCTTACCTAAATCTAAGCAGGAGAGCGTGGAGAAGTTGGTGTTTCTCAGGCAGAACAGCTGGCTCACTAGAGGAACCAGGGTTGTATTTATCGACTTCTCAACATATAATGCTAACATAAACCTCTTCTGTATAATCAAGTGAGTTCTTACCTTTAACTACATGTGAAATCCAATTTACTGAGGCATGACGCTTCCATAAGGACACAAGGAAAGGCTGGTCACCTCAGGCATATGTAGCCATGTTTCTCCGGTAACAGCTGGCAAGACAGTAATTCATTAAAAATGCAGAAATTCAGTTAGTGCAGGGAGCAGACTCAGAGCCTTCCTTTCCTTTTTTTTTTTTTTTTTTTAAATATTTGGTGTCGGGTCTGTACAGCTGGTTGCTGCTGTCTGTTGGAATAGATTTCATAGTCTTTTGCAAGGTCAAAGACTGGATTATTAGTCCTGTTGTCAGCTAGCGGAGGGAAAAGCCTCAGGGTAGGGTGAACGTTTGCTCTTCTGAGGCACAGTTTCTTTAAAGACTTTTAACCAAACACCATAGCTTGGGTATCCCGAGAGCGTCTCTTTTTCCCCTCAACCTTCCCTACCATGTAACACTCTTTTCATGGGGGACTTAGCATAGCCCTTACAAGATGATCTTACAGATGTAGGAGTTTAGTATTAGTTATTAGTGTCGTAAAAATTAGTATTAGAAAATTAAGGGCTGAGGTGATTTAAAGGGATGGTAACTAACACCAGTCCCCAATATTTTTCAGGTTGGTGGTAGAGTTCCCTGCTACCGGGGGTGCTCTCACCTCCTCACATATCTACTCTGTGAAGCTCCTCAGATACGTCACGTATTATGATTACTTTCTGGCTTCTTGCGAAATTGCCTTTTGTCTCTTTATCATTACATTCATAATCCAGGAAGCTATAAAAATCGTAAAACTGAAAAAGGAATATTTCAGAAGTGCCTGGAACTGGCTGGATTTGCTGCTGCTGCTGGTGAGCTACCCCTTGACTTTCACCTCTGTGCTTGCCAGCCTAGGCTAGCCCTGGATAGGCAGCCAACGAGCCAGAACAGCCCAAATCTGTGTCTGGTTAGAGTCAGTCACCCGCTGCTGTACACTGAAGAGGCCACATGGCCCACCATGGTTCAGCACACTTGAACTCTTTTCTAGGCTTGCTGTCAACTTGCTGTGGCTCCATGTCTTTTCTACTCATTATCCACCCTGTCTGTTTTAGCCTTAATCTTTGCAGAGCAGGCAAGCACTAGTGCATAACACAGCTAACACAGTAAAATTAGAATGTATGCAGCATGTTACACAGCACAAGCCCAGAATTATCACAGTACAATTACAAATTATTTGGCCGATAAAGTCTCCTGTATACAGTTTATGACAAAACATCTAAAAATCTCGGGTTCTTCAAATCTAACCAAGGGCCTTTTGAAATCAGTACAGTCTTTCCTGTGCAAAGTGACAAGAGGGGGTGTAGCTGGACTTCAGTTTCGCTTGCTTCTGCTTTCCTTCAGGTATCCATCCTTGCCATTGCCTTCAACATCTACCGCACTGTAGAAGTGTCCCTGCTAATGGAAGAGCTGCTGTCTGATGCCCATGTATATCCAGACTTCTATTTCCTTGCATTCTGGCAAGTCCTTTACAATAACATGATTGCCGTCAACATCTTCTTTGCTTGGATAAAGGTATTGGTTCTTACTCCCTTTTTTTGCACTCGAGAGTCAGTGTTTCTAAGCATAGCATAAATGTTCATTTTTACCTTTTCATGGGTGAATTGCAAAGGTGGGGCTAAAAGGGAGAATTTTGCTTATAAGATTCCAGAAGAGTTTAAAATCACCTCCTTCTCATAAACATGGGACACACAAATTCCAAGACCATCTTAAATAAAAATTTTGCACGTGGGCAGCTGTCTCCATTGGAGCAGCTGGGAAATTACCATGGCCAAACAGCCTCCTCAAACTCAGCCTTTTCCTAGACCCAGTATTATCTGGGTCACAGCCTGACCTATACAGATGACATGGCTGTAACAGGTAAAGCTATTCATAGCTTTTGTACCCAAAAGCTGTGAAAACAGTAGCTACTTTTTAACTGCAGAGGAAGGCAAAATGTGTCTGAACTTGATTCAGAAGTGGGTTTGTGCCAGGACACCTTTAATTTCATTCTTACTTGCAAATAGATTTGCTGATCTCTGGACGGAGTAGCAAACTTCTCTAAGATTAGGGGCTACTTTTGTTCCTAACCAGGTGCTCTGGGGCCGAACCAGTCCTGCATGTTTGCATGCCACTGCCCCTAATCTACTAAACCCTGCTGGCCCTGCCTGGGGCCTGCACCCAGCAGACATCAGTGACTTTGGTTTGGGTGGCCTCAGTGTTCCCAGTGGCTGGATGAAACCTCCCAAAGCTTTGCCTGATCCCAGACTACTTACAGGCTCTCTCTCCCCCAAGGGATTTGTAAAACGCCCAGCACAAAGCAACTGCGAAACAGGCAGGGGAGGTGTTCACATCTGCCAGAAGAGATCACGCTTTACAGTCATGCCCCAAGTACCTGAACATAGGCTATCACGGAAAGGTCATGTCCTTTTAAAATAAACAGGCTTTTGGCCTTCCTCCACCTCCCAGGCCGAGGCTGCAGGAAGAATTGGTTTGGGAGCACTGGCTGTTAACCAGTTCCGTGGACAGTCTTACTCGTTACAGCCATTCTGTATCGCAGCTACACGTTACCCCTGCATCATCCTCCCCTCAGACCGATTACTGTTAATGTAGTAGCACAACTGTGTTTATAATGACATTATAATGACTGTCATTGAACAAGGCTTTTGTTCAGGCCTTGTTTCAGACCCAAAGTAAAAGAGAGCTCCTTACCAACTCAGCCCATCAGGGAATCCTCAGATACAAGAGGGTGCTATGGCTTGCAATCTTCTTGACCAGGGGTCCATATCTGCTAGAGCTCATTACACATACCAGTACCCAGCAAAGACCTGTCTACACACTATTAGCTCTAGTACGTAAGCATACTTGCCCTGCAGAATATTCATCTTCCCAGAAACACACCCAATCCTAGTTCTCCTTACAGATAGATGCCATGCAACTTATTTCTAGGTATGACTTCACCTGTACATTATGATTACAGATAACATTCCAGAAATTCTGTTAAGAAGTTGCAATATATTTTGATCCCCCAATAACAATATGTTCTGTTCTCTTGCAGATATTTAAATACGTAAGCTTTAACAAAACAATGACGCAGCTGTCCTCCACTTTATCTCGCTGTGCCAAAGACATCACTGGATTTGCCATCATGTTCTTCATCATTTTCTTTGCCTATGCCCAGTTAGGCTATCTGGTCTTCGGGTCACAAGTTGAAGAGTTTTCCACTTTCCAAAACTGCATGTATGCTACTTTCTAAACTTTTTGATACAAAACCCCCAGTTGGTGCAGGTGCAAACCAGTTTCTGCTAAGCAGAACTTAAGAGTACAGGTCTCCAACACTTAAGCTTATTTCATAGAGAAAACCCAATTTTATTGGCCCTACAATCTGTTTACCAAAGCCTTCGTATGCTCAAAAGAGACCACATGTACATTAAACAGGTCAGGGAAGCTCAGGAGTAGTTCACCCTTGGAGCTATTAGTCCCCACAGCTCTCGACACAACTTTGCCGTGTGTAACCAGGCCCCTGGGCAATCGGGCAGGCCTGGCAGCAGGCTGTTCTCTTTTGCCTCTTCCAAAAGCAGGAATCTGACACTTCCCAGCAGACATGCCACTGGGTATGCGATACAGTCCCCAGCGTGAAAACTGCAGAACTGCTTGAGAGACCCAAGTGGCTCGGAGCACAAGCTGAGCGTGTTTGCAAACAGGAATTACAGCTCTTTTAAGAAAACATCCAGCTGCCCAGCCAAGAGTCCCCAGATCCCATCTGCTGGCTCTGTTACTTTCTTCCCCAGATTTTTGTCAGCCACTTACTGTAGCAACAACATCAGATCAATTCCAGGTGCCAGCTGGCACTGGTTTTGATGGTCCTTGTGCCTTGTAGCAACCCTAACCTGTCACCCGCAGTGTACATCGTGTTTTAGCCCATGGCTACATCTCTTGCAACTTCAGAGAGATATCTTTAGTGTACCAGATTGTTTGAAAGCAGCTTTTCATGTAAAATTAAGGCACTTCTAAACCAGAAAAATAGCTCATTGTGGATCCACTTGGATGTGAGACTGTTCTAAGATGCTGCAATACAGAGAAATAAATATTTGTCTTAGCTAAGAATAAAATCCCTATGGGGGACACAGGGACTTGTACTGTTACCTTCTGTACTAACAGAAGATGAGGGATCACGAAGCTAGAACAGAAGGGAAGTATTTAAAAAAAACACACAACAAAACCCCAAAACCAGATGATTTATCCAAAATGAAAGTATTTTTTCATACAAGCCACTTAAAAATTCCTTTGTACTTTCAAATTCTTAATTATTTGTTAAATGCCCAATTTACCATTCCAGTATTATCCTGGCTTGCCTTTTGATTTCAGTGACTAAGGTAATGGTGAATCAGTCTCAATTGTATCTACTGCCTTTTTTTTTTTTTTTTTAAAGTAATGCTTACAATACTTCTCTTTAGGAGAAGCCAGTCAACCTCATTCTTGTATTTTTACTCCCAGCTTTACACAGTTTCGTATTGTGCTGGGAGATTTTAATTTTGAAACCATAGAAGCAGCAAACAGGATCCTTGGACCTATTTACTTCATCACATTTGTATTCTTTGTGTTCTTCATATTGCTGGTAGGTATCATCTTAAAAATGCTTATCCTTTTGCATAAGCAGCAGAGAAGAACTGTCGTATAGTGCTCCGAGACAGTGTTTTTCACCCCAAGGTGACACTGGGCTTGCCCTGGCTGCCTCTCGGTACACCTGGGCAGAGGGACGGACCAAACTCTTTTGCAAGGAGTTCCCAGCAGGCAAGACATTTCGCAGCTCTCCCTTCCTCCAAACAGCCACAAACGGGGCTTTTGCACCACAGAACAACCACGTTGCACCTTTCACTCTACTGCACCACCCATTTCTCAAGATTTTAATTTCTGAAAATTTAATTGGGTGCTCTTGAAAACTGCATAAGGTCGGCCTTGTCAGGTAGGAAGGTTAAAGAGAGACTTTGACGGGACTGTGTAGGTGCAGGTTTGCTTTATCAGTTAGATTGATGTTTTCATTAATTACTTCAGACTGAAACACCACCTGAAAAAGCTACAAGTATACGACAGGAAATCTGTTACCTCCAAGGAACTGGGCCTTTTAGCCGATACTGCAGATGGGAAATAAGTGATTTGTCTCCCAAAAATATTCCCCAAGACCCTTAGATTATCAGATAATTTAACTGCATTAGGAGCACGTCTGCACCCAGCAAAGCTCTTCGATTCCATTAGTTACGTGCCCTAGCATGGAACAGCCCCCAGAACAACAGCCCCAGCATAATACAAATGCTATTTCCAGAAACAAGTATCTAACTGCATCCTTCCTGTGCAGAACATGTTTTTGGCTATTATAAATGACACCTATTCAGAAGTCAAAGCAGACTTTGAAGCGATACCCAGTCAAGAGCTTCAGATCGGAGACCTCTTTAGACAGGTAAGTGAACACTTCTGTAACTATCTCATTTAATTCAAGATAAGAGGAGGAATTCTAAGCTACATCACTAGCAAAGAGCCTTAAACAGCTGGGCCGTAACCATTTAAGAACACGCAATATTTGATTTTTCACTTTAAATAAACATTTGACAGATAGAGAGACATCCTTCCATCAAACCCATAGGAGCTCCTAATGGTAAGAGTAGCACATGAGTTAGGGTGCAAGGAGCCTACCTTTACTTCACCCTTTTAAAAGCAGCGTTTAAGACCAGCCTGGCTTGTGCTATATCCTGTCATCAGCTTTCTTCAGAGCTTACTGTTGCTGCTCTTCCAAACTGAGAAACTAAAGATCTTCTCTGCATAGGAAGACAAGACAAGTAGAAATATGTACCTTTAAAACTCCACAAAGTTCAGCCCATTTTTACGTGCCAGAAATGGGTACAAAAGGGGAACAAATCTTTCCCTAACTTTTCAGTTCAACTTGAAATTATGACCTCCTCCTTTCCTGCCAAATGCATACACTGAAGCCAAAGAGATTGCATGCAGTTCTGCTGCTGGGACAAGTCGGTACCTCTGCCTAAAACCTGGCTTTAACTGGGGAATACAGCATCACCAGTGAGATAAGTAAGATTGAGAGAGGTGTGGGATGAGACCTGCTCATTCAGACTGTTTCTTCAAGTTGGCCTGCGCTGACCGCTCTGTAGAGGAGGGCTGGCAGCCGTATCTACCTGAAATTTTCCTGTAGGATTTTATGAGTGGCATAGACATGTTACATTGCTTCTGCAAAGCCTAGCTTTCATTAAGGAAAAGGAAGGGGGAGTCCCTGGCCAGGATACAATTAGTCTGGTCAGCAACAGCACAGCTTGGATTCCCCCACCCAAGCTCATTCTCCTACTTATCCGGGACTATAGTAAGAGTAAACTGAATATGCCCGAAAACAGAAACTCTTGCTGGATTTGGTTGGCTGTTACCTTCAGGGATTTCATGACAAATTTGAGATATAGCAGGGTAAGTTCTCTGAGCTGAGCTAAGGGAACAAGAAAGCGATAGACTGGTGGGGTTTCTGTTTAATTGCCAAGGCATTATGCTGACGGTTTGTTCCTTGCATTCAAGTCCTTGTGCAAAAGTGTCTCTGGTTAAACACAAGCCATTTAACATGCCAGACTTTCCCTGTCTTATGTTCAGAGTTGCAAAAAGGCCCTCGTCAAGCTCAAGTTGAAGAAACCAGAGGTGGATACAAATCCAGCAGACGAGAGCTTGGAAAGGTAGGATCTCAGCATTTGCTGTTACCCCCTGTACTGAGCACAGACCTATTCTCACAGGACTTCTGTCTCTTCTCATTTGTGTGAATGACAAGCAAGGAATTTTCAGCCACTAAAAGAAAGGATATTTCTAAGCTTTCCAATGGAGACAGTGCTGATGAAAAGGTAGGCTCTATTCTTTCCTGTATTCTTAGAAACTGCTGATTATATTTCAGAAGTTGAATAATACAGAAGGAGTCACAGTTGTCCCCACTGTTACTTACAAAAGCTATTTCTCCACAGGATACTATTTTTAACATCATAGGAATAGCAAAAAAGTTAGACCTATAAATAAAAATCACTAATTATGCTCAAAACTTCAACTGAAAGCTTGTTCAGGCAAGGTCATACACTACAATAACAGAGTTGGCAGTAGGGTGAGATCAGTGTGTCTTAGCAATGGTATAAAGTTGTGAGCTGGGCATTTGCCCAAATGTTAAACAGAAACAGATGTATAGAAAACAAAACAAGTTTCACAGCAATCTATTGGGTCATAGGCTGCACCTACAGCAAGAAGACAGACTACTGTAGCTTCTTTTTGCTTTACAAACAGAAGGTTTCCAGCAGTCTTTGGTAGTTCCATATCTGGGGTAAGCCTGCACAAGTACTTCTAAAACATATTTTTTAAAAAATCCCTTCTACAACAAGAGAGGTAAAAGCCCCTTGGCTAGCTGTAAACACTACTGCACACAATGCTTGCAATCTCTCTGAGAGAAGAAACTGAGAGGCAACGCTGAGAAGAAATGTGTATTCCTACATCCTGTCTTCTTCCTAGAAGGAAAAATCTACTTTCAGATGGAGGAGAACATTTTTCTCCCCAAAGCTGCATATATCTTTTCCCGCACACACGCCCCCTCCCTGCATGAGTGACTGTGTTACAGATGTCCCAGTGAGCCATGCTGGCTTTGTCTGCGATTTATTTATTTCCTTTTTTTTTTTAAATCCCTCCGGTGTTGAATAGAGCCATCTGAAGTTATCAAAGCTACAAAAAGGGAAAGAAAAACTTTGTCAGAAGTATCCATCTACTGAGGATACGGACTCAGTCACAGCTCAGAGCTACGTCTCCACTGCAGAATTTCAGCAGTAAGTGTGTGTGCGTATCTGGTTTTGCAGTCTTATTCCCATCCCCAGGCAGCTGCAGCCCTAGCTGAAACCCTCACTGAGTGACAACCTGAGAGACAGAAGATCAACACAAAGTCAGTGATTTTAAGATATTTTAAGTGCTCTTATACTGGCTGACAACAGCTGCCCTCAGGGAGGGAAGAAGGAAACAAAAGAATTTAGTAGAGCAGCTTGTAAGGACGTTAGTCAAGAATGAGGTGGGACAAGAATTTAAAATATTGTCACTCTTCCAGAACACCTCCTTGTGGCTGCCCAGGGAGGGGGACAGAGACCCTGTGCTTGCGAAGGGGTATTTCAGGACTTAGACCCTTGGCAGCTGACACAAGTGAGCAAAGAGGAAGGTTGCAAATGCAAGTTTAAGGGCAGCGCCATCTCAAGGATACGTGGCTGTATTTGTGTGTTCTAGGCTCTTCAGGTATACAGCTGAGTTGGCGAAGGAATTAAATAACACTAATGCAAAACTCAGGAGAATTATGAAAAGCATGCAACAACTGAAGGATACTTCAGGCAAGACGGCTCAGTAAAATGCATGAGCTCATCTGGTAACAGAGGTGGCCTGACTCATCACACAGTTTAAATAAATCCAAAGTCGCCATCTCCCCCTGCCCCTCCTTTATTTTTTTTCTATTTCTGGATAAGAGAAGCAGCAATGTTAATAAAGGTATATACCGTTGTTGCTTCTGGGCCTTTTCTCCGAGAGTTTCGGGTGCTTCTTTAACTCTGAGAAGAACCGACCAACCTTGCTAGACTTCTGGGTAGGCATCTCTACAAATGCCTGGATGACATTTATTCCTCTGCCTTGTTTTGGGGCTGCCGCGAGACACAGATGTGTAACCAAGAGAGCAGATCATGAGCAATGGCAGCGTCCTGGGCCTGCTCCGTACCCTCCTCTCGATCCCTGGCCCTGTGTAAGCCCAGTGCAACCCTCAATTGCCAAGCACAGTCCAGCACACGGGTCATTAGCCCTCACTTCCCTGGACGGTTTTCTTTTCCTAGTGCATCTGCTGCCAAGGTTAATGCTTATTTCTCAACAATTCTTGTTCCAGGCACCTGTTGCTTCCAAAACAGGTTCCTGTTGCCTTCAGAGAAAAAAAAAATTACTCTTTCAGGAAATAAACAAAACAATCAATCATTTATTTTGATCACGCCTTAACAGCTGGAACCACTAGAGGGCGATTTGCTTCACCCATGCACCAGCCTGAACTTTCAGGACATCCTTTTTAATTCCTAAATCCCTTTATACCCGTTGCCTTAGAGACAATTTGTTATGTTCAGGCCAGAAACTATCTACTCCTATGTAGTCATTAATATTTGTTCATTGCTGGGACTCAGCCACAGGAAGAAATAAAACATGTCCAAATGCCATCTGAACATGCCATGAGAAAACACGGCGCCGTCACCAGGCTGCAACACCCCACCTGCACCACGCAGTCCCTGCCCTAGGGAAGTTCTGCTGCTGTACATCTCAGCTCATGCATAACACGCAACCCCCAGCCTCCAAAGCGTCCTGAAACTCCTAAATCCTACAAGGATTTATAACATTATAAAGCCTTATGTCCTGCAGAGCACTGTCAAGCTACTACATGGCCTCTGGTCTCTCTGTGCCTAATCACACTGTGGAGGAGCAGTCTCGTGGAGAGGGGAGCAGACGGGCATTTGAAGGGACCCAGGAAGAGATCGCTTCAGCCCAGTAGCACAATGTAGCCATGCACTGGTTTGCCTGTCAGGGTTCACTGACTCTGTACTTCAGTCTCCTGGCCAAGCTGAGACATCCTCTCTCTTCTAAAAGGGACCAGTTTAAAATAAAACCACCTCTTCCCTTCACTTCCAAAGGGTTCTTGTTGCTATGCAGTATCCCAGGACACTTGTCCCAGAAACCATAGGTCACCGATGATCTGTTTATCTTGATTTCTCAACAGCCTGACACGCAGGAGAGCAAGTGTCTTGCACCTTTGGCATCTCTGACCTCTCCTCCTCCTGGCAACCCCTCTCGTACAAAGTAGTCTCGAAACCTTTAGCCACAGTTACTTGCCCAGAACTTCACGGAAGAGCTTTCAAGCACTCCTCATCCTTGCTCTACTACTCTGGGGCACAGGAAACCCTCTTTATAGCCTGCCTCACTTTTGCCAGCAAGCTCCTTGCCCTGCAGTCACATAAAGGCTCAAGCGAACCTCTCTAAAGAGGTTAAGCTTGGAATACTCTAGATTTGCATTGTCTCAGAACTGGTTCTTCAGCAAGGAAGATCTGTCCCAGTATCACTGAGCTTTTTGCACCCTCAAAAATACTTGTTTCTCCTCCATTTTGGCTAATGGTGTTTGAAACAGGGTTATTTTCCTTCATTAAAATCTTCTTAGTAAGTTCATTGCTTTGTAGCACATGGATTTTAAACAGTTCCCACCAAACCACTGTTTGAGGGAATTTTTGTCTTCTCATTAGCGTCTTGATCATAGCAAGCTTCATTGAATAAATAATGCTAACGAAAAATGGAGGATTGTAAAACAGATCTGTAGCAACCCTGTTCATTCTTCAAACCAGTGTCCTAAGAATTTGTGCTTTCTTTTTCCCCTATCGTCAGAGGAAAGACGTGATCAGAGGGAAGGTTATTCTGTCCCACCCTAAAGCCTGCCTTCTGTCTCCTCCCCCTCACTCGCTCCCTCAACTTCCTAGTTGTTTTTCTTCTTCCCATTTACCTGCACTGCCACACATCCACAAGCGGAGTCTTCACCTTCAGGAGTTCTTCTGTCCCCTGCCAGGCCTTGGGCTGAAGAAAGGTGGATTTACACAAAATACAACACGAGTCAGTTTGAAAGACCTCAATCACTTTTCACATGAACTTACATCAATATTCTATGAAAAAAAAAAAATCTATTTGGTCCAGAGGAAAAGCATCCTCCTGCGTTTACAGAAGTGTGGGCACTAACAGTGTTTTCTGGCCACAAACACGGCAGCAACTGCTGTGATACTGATTTTAAAGCTAAGAGATCATTATGGATATAGAGACACAATCAAATACTGCTCATCAGCTGAAGGTGTATTCATTGGCAGTGAATTAATTAGCCCAGTAATGGCTGAATCAGCTCTCTGCCCCACCTACTGCCAAAGTTGCTACTGTTGAGGAACGAGCGAGACTCACAGTTTGCTCCTGCGTCATCACACAGCAGGCCGGCACCCTAGCAGGAACCGAAGCCCACATCGCACCATAAGCCAAGCTGTCAGTTCAGGAGCTGATGTGGTCACCTTCCTGCTGTCTCTGCTGAGAGGCACAGCCTAAACGGGTAAAATAAGGCTTAAACTGCTGTAGCTTCATCAAGGGCTGTCTCGGCACCTGAGCCACCGCCAGTGCCGGTGGCTCTGCTGGCAGGCTGCGGAATTCAGACCTGCCTCAGCAGCACCCTGAGGCTGCAAATACATATAGGAATAGCGAAGGACTCGGCACTCGTTTTTAAGAGATGGCAGTGGAGGAAAAAGCATGATGAGAAACAAAGATATATGACAATAAAGGTTAAGGTACTTTTATTATAAAAGTCTATACAATGAGCACCAGACATAGCAATGCAATTATATCTGGTTTAGTTATATATACTCCATATCTATATACCCATATAGATATATAGGTTTTGCTTTTACCAAAGTAAAACTGTTATATCACAAAATGCCTAGTTCTACCATTTATTTATTGCTCAACAAGGATGGCACAAAACACACTCAGCATAACTGTTGCCATGCTTATCTACTATACTGAATAAACAGCCAAACACTGCATAACAAACACAAAGCAGCTGTTAATTCTGAATTGGAACCAGTCTGATCACTCACTCACTTATAAAAATATTGGAATCATATAGATTTAAGCATTATAAAGGAGGAATATATTATTTAAAACATTTAAATAGTGCATATTGACATTTTGCATGTGGTATATAAAACACAAACATTCATGTACAACACTATACAGTACACATTAGTTTCAATGTTTGGATACACCCGTGTCTGCAGACTGATAGAAAAGTAACTGAAGTGTACATTGCACAATGGAACTGAATAAAATTGATAAATGGTCTCAAGACTAGTTTAACCTCATAATTCTTTAAGGTCCCAGATCATTTTGCAGTTTTAAAAAAAAAAAAGGCATACCACCAGTGCTCAATAGTTTTAGTGCTTTTTTTTTTCTCTGAACTCCAAAATTACATGCCTACAAGCAGAGTAAAACAAAACAAGAAGTATTCTACAGTACACAGATGAAATCTGAGCACTAAAAATCCTACTTTCAACCTATTTCATATGCTTCATGACAAAACAGCAAGTCTATGAGGTTACATGCTAGCCATTTCTTACGTTGTGTGAAAGTTCATTTTTGGTCTTTCATAAAGCAGTGTGAGTAATAGCTATGTTGACATTAGCCAGTCATAGAAACATGCAGTGAGAGTAGGTGCATGCAAAACATGGCCACAATCAAACTGATACATTGAAGAAAAAAATAAATTGAGAAAGCACCAGTTAAAATTAACACTTAGATTTTGCCAGATCAAAAACAGCTGCTGATGGCTGTTGCAGAGCATAAAGCTAGTAGCTAAATCATCATTCAGCACAGCAGATGTGATACTCAAAACATTATTTAGTTTCAACTCTGAAGCTAAATCATGCAAGGCCCATAAACTGTTTTGCTTACATCATAAGGGTTAGATAACTTATTTTTATTCTCCAACTGTAAAACAAAATTGTGATAAACAGCAGTAATTTTTTTTCACTCAAAACCGACAGTTCACCCTGTGGTGCGCATTAACTACACTGATTTTAGCCCTTGATACCATACTTATTTCAGGTACAGTGGAATTTTAACTGTCCTAAGCCAGCTCTTTTCTGCTGGAGCTACACAAGTCTGAGCACCATCAGATTTCCCATACACTGAAATGTTCATTATGTTCCTCAAATCTTCCGAAAGTGGAGATGCAGTATCCAATTCAGACAAAACACTATGTCACCACTAGTTGATAAACAATAACCGATAAAATGATAAAATGAACAACAGTAACGTAAGTCCTGTAGGCAGCATGTGATATAACTTTTCAGTTTTCCAAGTTTTAAAAAGACACTAAGCAAGGTCACTTTCTGGTTTGTCCACTGTCATCTTTATCAAGGAGGAAATGTGACCACTAATGAGCAAAATCCATAGGTGTTAGTTATTACTGTGTTATAGGTGCAATTTAGAATACCAAAAATTAAAGTTGTTCCACAGCAGTCCTTTGAAAGGAATTTCAGTCTGGTTTTTATATGTTCCAGGAAAAAGAGCTGTACGTCTAATTTGCTGACTTTTTTCCCCCATAATAAAAAATAGGCAAAAGGAGTAGTTCAGTGTAGCATTATGGTATTAATAATTCCTTCAATAATGCAAAAAGTTGGTAATAACAAAAGTCTCAAAGTTCTTGAATGCTAAAGAAAAAAAGCTATGGTTGTTTTGGAACAAGATGGATGCATCTGCAATACAAAACTTTGATGGAAACTGTGTTTGCTAAAGTTGGATAGAGCAGTCTCAAACTTAGAAATCTTACGTGCTCTCCAGACAGGACCTACTTACCCTTCAAACATGTTATAGTGGCACCACAATAAAGTGCACAAACTGGATTCTCTCAACAGTGCATGACAAATGAACACCAGCACCCAATAAGTACATTGGTTGTATACGGAAACATG